TACCTCTGACCTGTACCCCAGTCCTATATGCATAAATAAATAATCTTAAAAAAAGAAAGAAAGAAAGAAACGCAAATGCTCAGGCCTCGTCCGTGCGCCTTTAAATCAGGAAGGCTGTAGGGGCCCGGCAATCATGTGTTAAGTCCTGCAGGTGATGCTCGTACTCACCAAGCCTAAGAACAGGCATCTAGTGGGAGAGGGCGGTGGCTGGGTCTGGGTCCGGGCAGAGGGGTGTGGGGGAGGCCTCTGGGCATCTGGAGGGGTCAAGGACAGCTTTTGGCAGGTGCGGGTGGAGGGTAAGGGGAGTCACGGGCCACTTGGGTGACTTCAGATCTCAAATTGGTGGTGCCTCTGGCCAGCTCTTGCCCTCACACCCGCGGGGGGCCTTCCCACCTCTGGCCCCCGACCTGCTCCCCTCTCCCTTCCCTCTCCCATCAGTCCTGCTCTCTTGTTCACAAACAAGCCAGCCCGGCCCAGCCCTGTAGTCAGGGTGGTTGCCACAGCAATTGACATCAGTGCCCTGGTCCCCGAGGAGCCTGTCACCCTCCGCTGCCTGCGGCGTCTCCATTGCTGCTCCTGCTCCGGTGGAGAGGAGTCACCCGGAGACTCCCACTCTCCTAGACGCCCCAGGTGCAGGCCTGGGCGAGGCTAGGAAGGGCCACTAACAAAGGGGAGGGGACGGGGGAGGGCGGGCAGGTAGGCGGGGCCTGGTTGGTGGCCTCTTGCCTGGGCGGTGAGGGCCCCGGGCCACTCAGCTCCTAGACTCACCGTGGTGGTGGCAGCGGCAACGGTAATTGGACCATGGCGGAGGATGGGCCGCAGAAGCCACAGCTGGACATGCCGCTGGTCCTGGACGAGGACCTGACCAAGCAGATGCGGCTGCGCGTGGAGAGCCTGAAGCAGCGCGGGGAGAAGCGCCAGGACGGTGAGAAGCTGCTGCGGCCAGCCGAGTCCGTGTACCGCCTCGACTTCATCCAGCAGCAGAAGCTGCAGTTTGAGCGCTGGAACGTGGTGCTGGACAAGCCGGGCAAGGTCACCATCACCGGCACCTCGCAGAACTGGACGCCCGACCTCACCAACCTCATGACGCGCCAGCTGCTGGACCCCGCTGCTATCTTCTGGCGCAAAGAGGACTCGGAGGCCATGGATTGGAACGAGGCCGATGCCCAGGAGTTCGGGGAGCGCCTGTCGGAGCTGGCCAAGATTCGCAAGGTCATGTTCTTCCTCATCACCTTCGGCGAGGGTGTGGAGCCCGCCAACCTCAAGGCCTCCGTGGTCTTTAACCAGCTCTGATGGCAGCTGCCTCCTCCGGCCCACTGCCCATCTCCTGCCCGGCCCCTCTTCCCCCGGTACATTTGGGGGCATTCTTCGAACTGCTGACCTGTCCTCGGCTTGCAGACCCCCTGAGTCATGTCCTCCCTCACTCCTCCCTGGTGCAAGCACCCCGGATGTGGGGGTTAGGAAAGGCTCTGTAGTCTAGAGGCTGAACTGGCTGCTGCTGCTGCTGTAGACCCTGGAGGCCTGGGGGGGGGGGGCTTGTGGAGGAAGACGGCAGACGGCAGGACCACGGCCTTCTGCCCTCTCTGCTTCACCGTCCTGAAACACACTGAGACAGACACGGCGTGAGAGCGGGCTCCAAAGAACCAGCCACCGAACTTGCTCCAGAGACCGGTGACAGCGACGACAGAGCCGCCTCCTTGGAGAATCCAGTAAACAGGCTTTGCTGCCCATCCGGCCGAGGCCTGTTTGCCGGAGCCTGTGTCCAGAGGCAAACACCAGCCTGAGGACCCAGGACAGCGCTGCTCCCAGTGCGTGGTCCCAGGACACCTCGGGCTCCAGGGACGGGAGCGGGGCTGCTTTGGGGCTGCCTTGGGCCATCGGGAGTGGCCAGCACGCTGGAGGCGATGCAGTCCAGCTCGTGCTCTTCTGGGAATGGCTTCAGGTGGGGAGAGGGGGAGGGAGTCATGTCAGTGTCACTTGGCGATCAGTCTGTCTCTACGTATACGTATATTGTGAAAGCGTGTTACATTCATGTGGATATATTCTAGAGTCTAACCTGCCCTAGGAACAAGTATGATGTTAGGTGAACTGTATTATGACTGCTCAGTCAGGATGATCTTGGCATTCAACTTGGGTAACTTCAGATCTCAAATCTGTGGCCTCTCTGGTCAGTTGTTGCCCCCACCCCCTGCCAGGGATCTTCCAGCCTCTGATTTTGCACTGGGGGACGATGCAGTTCATACAGTGAAGTGGAGAACAGTATAGTAAGGGTTTCCGCCCCCCGGAGCTGGAGACAGTCGGCTCTCAAGTGGCCCCGCTGGGAGGTCAGGCTTTTCCCAGCTCCCTGGCCAGAGAGGGTGTGTTTTGTCATGGTGTGGCATCTCCTTGGCATCTTCAGTGGAACCTAGGGTGGCCTGCTGGGCAGTTGTGATGGCTGATGGTCAGAAATGGGTGGGAAGTTGCACATACTGACCTCACAGGTAGCGCCACCCACTCACCCGATGAGAAACTGAGGTAAGGTTATCAGCAGGTTCGGTTCGAATCCTCAAACCTCGTTCTTCTTTGCACTGCACAGCGGGGTGAGCCCCCTTTGAAAGATGGGCCTGCCTGTTGCCTAGCACCCACCGAGGTCACCACAGGAAATGCCATCAGGAAATGCCCTGTTTCAAGACAGCCCTGTTTTTGGTCAGGGATGTGCCCGACACTTCCCTCATGGCAGAGTCATCAGGGCTACGGGTTCTGGGGAGAGATGCACTGAGAGATGGAGGGTCAGAGCCATCAGTTAGCTGTGCTGCTGCTGGGAGGATGCACCCCCACTTTGGAAGCGTGCAGGCAGGTTTGGGATTCATTAGGTGGGAGATTGGCCGTGGCGTGTGCGCTGGTCCTTTCTAACTCACAGCTCTGACTTCTAACTCATACCCTGTTCCAGGACTTTGACGAAATCCCTACTTTGCTTCTCCACTGACCACTGGGGGAAGCCAGATCTTGGGGAGCAGCCCTGCCCTTCTGTCTCTTTGCTCGACTTCTTCCTGCAGCTCCAGGGACCTGCTTGGTTCAGAACTGCCTGCACTGCACGCCCACCTTGCCGCACCACTCCTGCCCTGTGGGCCTTGTGTGCCTCTGCCGTGCCCGCTGCCCGTCCCCAATAAAACCTGTGTGTCTGGCCCGGGTGGTGTACAGTCTCTCGCCGCAAGCCACTCCTCTGCAGGGGCGCTGACCCACCTGTCTCCTCGCAGCCCTGACCACCCCCTTCTGGGCTTTTCCCCATGCTTGAAGCCCTCCTCCCACCAGCCTTCAGGGATGAGACTCAGCACAGCCAGGTGACTGGGCTGGGCAGGGACTGAGCTGAGACCCTGTCTCTCGCTATCCAACCAGGGAGCAGCACAGCTGGTGTTTTCCTGCAGTGGCTCCCAGCCCAGCCTCTCTGGGCGTGAGAAGGCGCTCAGGCTACTGAGTCTCCATCTGGTCTCCCTCCCTTGCAGGGTGTCTGGGGGACAGAGTGTGACAGGGATGACCTGTCACAAACGTGCAGTGTGGTCAGCAAGGTCAGCAGCCCTAACTCTCTTGCAGCCGCTGACTTTCTAGAGGGAACAGTGGCTCTGTGAAGCCCCTTCCAGCCCTGCCAGCCAGATAAGCCTGATAGCACTGTGTCACCTTCATGGGCCACTTGACCCTTCTTCAGAGCTCTGTCCCCTCTTCGTCTCTCTCTAGCCCAAAAGTCTGGAATGAACCAGCCAAGGCCCAGAAAGTGGCCACCTGCCCAAGGTCAAAGAGGGAGTGGAGGGGCCAGAGGAGGGGGTGTGTGGGGACCAGTCTCTGGGTCCCCTTGGCCCCCTGTGATGCCCCCACTTTCCCTGAGGGCCACGCCTGGGCATGTCCAGCTTCTACTCAAAGACCAAGGTCAGGCCTGGCTTTAGAGGCCACAATGGGGTTTCACTTAGGAACAACCTCTGCTTCTAAGTTTTGAGGTCCATGCCCCCATCCTCCACCACAGAGCCCTCTCCAGAGCAGCGGATAGAGACCTAGGAACCTAGCCCTCCGCCCCAGGACCGGGTGGGATCCTGGCTCTCTCCTGGATTGGGTCTGGAAGAATGCAGAGAATGGGAAACAAGGACCCGTTTCCCATGGAAACGCGCTGAGACCGGACATTTCCTGGACGTCAGCCTCCCGCTGCACCACCGGAAGGGGTGAGGGGCCTATCCTGCCACACACCCCCATCCCCCCACCCCCCCAGGCACTCTCCAGCGGGGGAGCTGACATCAACCCCCTTGTAAGGCTGTTGGGAGGGTGAGATGAGTTAGCATTAGTTTGGCTTTGCAAGCTGGCACACAAGATCCGCTCTCGGTTTTCTCATTGCCACACCCCAGTCATATGTGTCTTTGCTTTTCACGATTACTCTGAGCCGAGTGTGTTGGGAGCGCTTATTACTGAGGCGGGTTCTGGTTGCAGAGAATGAGTGGCCTGGGGTGCGTTAGCAGCCCAGTGCATACGGCCACAGTGATGTGGGTGAAGGCAGGAGCTGGGACCTAGCCTGGCCCGAGTGGTCACGAGGGAGTAGACGCTCCTCTCTCACCATTACCAGGCCCAGCCCAGGGGGCCTCAGCCTTCACAGTATGCTGGGGAGCCCAGCAGGAGGAGCCAGGTCAAGGCTCCCCACCCACATCTCTGAGCCTTGTCTGCTGCCCCCCACCCCCGACAATGAATAGGCGTCGGGGACTCTGCAGAACATCAGCACCCTGCTCTCCGGCTGCTGAGCCAGAGGGGCTCTGCTCGCCCGAGGGGGCGCAGGATGGTGCCCCATTATCCTGCTTTTTCTAACCATGGCCTCTGAAAGTAGAGAACTTAGGGCTCTTGGAATCAGTCAGAATCAGAACCGAGTCTATTCCGATGCTCAGAATCCTCTAGTTTGGGAACTAAAGAGTCCGTATGGGCCCCCTCGTTCAACTCAGGTAACAGGAGACCTGCTGTGGCCTCTCAGCCCTGCTGACCCTCTTCAGAAAAGCCCCCAACTGGCTCTTTGGGGTCCCACGCGGAAATCAGTGAGAGATGCCTCTGTATGCACTAAGTGCACCCCCCACTCCCACACTGATGTGCATACGGGTGTGTACCCACACACCACTTCTGAGCTGTGCTGCCTGCCCTGGGCTCCCGGCTTCCCAGACTCTCCTCCTCTCAGTCATACACACACACAATCTGCCCCAGCCAGATTTGAGCTCAGTCTCTTGGGTCTAGGTCAGTCCCCAGGGGGAACCTTCAGAGGGCTCCAGGCGCCCCCCAGAGGCGACTGTGGCCAGCGCTGGGGGTTTCCTGCCAGGCGCAGAGCCCTGTGTTGGGTGCTGGGAATGTCAGTGTGAGTGGGACAATGGCCTGGGTGGGACCCTCTGCCCTGCTCAGTGAGCAGGGAACGAGCCTGCAGGAGAGAGGGTGTTCAAGGAGCACTGGGCCCTGAGCCCCTGGGGGACCAGGAACGGCACAGTGCTGCAGAGGGAGCCGCTGTTGCATAGCTGAGGTGCCCTGAAGCTGCGCAGAGCCTGCAGAGTGAGGCTGAGAGCAGCTTCAGGGCCTCCTGCAGGATTTTGACTTGTGGGAGAGGGAGCTGGGGTCTGTGTGGTGGAGCATTTCAACTGTAGAAGACAGGAGAGGCGAGACAGGGCCCAGCAAGCCCCCGAACGTCTCTCTGCTTCAACAGTCGTCAGCTCACGTCCCATGTCCTCCCCTACTCTCCCTCCCAGAAAATATTTCTGGATGCTTCTCTGTATGATAAGGATTCATTAGGGGGAAAAAAAAAACCCAGAAACCACTAACCGTACTATCATACCACACCTCAAATAATTCTATTATAATTCCTTAATAACGAAATATTGAAATTTGCTCCGTAATGACGGACAGGTTTTACAGTTTGCTTGAATCAGTTCCAAACAAAAGGCAAAAATTACAACTGGCTGGTTCCCTCTTCATCTTTTATTTTTTTTCCCTGGGAATGTCTTTGCTGAAGAAGCCAGTTATCTGTTCGGTGGCATTTCTGATGCTCGGGACTATACTGGCGTCATTTTTATGGTGTCATTTAACATGTTCTCATGTCCTGCATTTCTTGTAAGAGATGACTTTCCTCTGGAGACTTAAGAAGGTTCACACACTTATTTTATTTTTTTTTTGACATGACTACTTCATGCCAAAAACTGTGTCCTTCTCTCAGGAGACACGTAAAAGTCTGTTTATTTCTCTTAATGATGTTGGAAGCCATCCTGGCTAGTAATGTTAGCCAGGATCCTAAACTCATTTGAGAAGTCATGGTCATCTGAGTCCATTACTTGTCAGTGGTTGCAAAATAGTGATCTCCTCTTCTAATCTCGTCCTCATATACTAGCTAGATTTCATCTCTAGATATAAGTGTCCCTTCACCTGCTATTGGTTACTCCCTGATACAGTTATAGGAGCAGAGCACATCCTTGATTCTCCCCTTAATTCTGCCCAGATAATGAGTTGATGCCCTGCCAAGCTCCAGTAATGACTGTGATGATTTGTTTGCGAAGTACCATTGTGAGCTCACAGATTTGAACAAATGGGATGTGTCATCCTCCCCCTCGGTTATCACCCTGATCCACGCCCCCGTGGGCCCTTCCTCTGCCGGTGGGAGACTCTCCAGGGTGGTTCCTGAGCCCTTTGAGGGGGCTCCAGGCATCTTTGTTTGTTCCCTGGGTTTTGGGGTGTGACCCAGTGAGGTGAGGAGGGTTTTCAGTGTGTGTGCCTGTGTGAGCACCCCTTCTGGGCCCGCCTCCCTCTGGCTTGGCACCTCCCTCCAGCCTGGGTCCCACAGCCAGGTCCGATGCTGTGATTACAGGAGGGGAAATTGAGGCCCCAGGGGACCGCTGGCTCTGGAGCCTCATTAGGTGCTCCTTGAGCCCAGAGGACTCCGAGCCAAAGCTTGGGTTTGGCTAATGATTCTCCCTCAGCAGCCCCTCCCTGTGCCCTTGAGGGCTTCTCTTCCACCCTCCCAGCCCCCTCGACCCCAGACTCAATCCAGAGCTTTCAGAGCAGGGAGGACCGTGCACAGGTCGGTGAGCTCATGTCTGAACCCCCACACTCTGTGCCTCCCTGCACCCCTGTGGAGCTCAGCCTTCCCACCCGTGCAGCAGTGGGTGCCAGATTGTTGATACAGCGTCCTGTACGGAAAGCGAAGTGGGAAAGGTCGCGGGTGGTCAGGGCAGAAGTGCCAGGCCCTACGGAGTTGACTGCCAAGGGAGGCCCAGAGGCGGGGAGTGTGTAGCCACACAGAGCCCTTGGCCCAGCAGCGCCCCAACTTTGCAGCCCTGACAGTGAGTCCTGCAGCCCTCACCCATGCCCAGGGGCAGCTTCTGCCGGCTGGAGTAACCTGTTTTTAATGCCTCGAAGGAGAGCAGCCAGGGTCAGGGTTGGGCAGCAGAGGACGCAGCAGGCCTGCCTGGCCCCAGCACAGCCAGGACGCCTCTTAAGGAGCTGAGCACTTTCATCTGAGCTCTCTCCAGTGTCCCGTTAGGGAGCTTCTCTTTGCCAGCATCCCTGCTGATGGAAAGAGGCTGTAAACAAAAGCATCCTTAATGAGCGTGGGGGTTGGGAAATGGCTTTTGGATGAAGTCTCTGTACTCAGGCTGGTCCGGGCTTTGGGATTTGCAGCCTCTGATGGGGCTGTGGCTGGATGCCCAAGTGCCCACCTTTCTTCCAGAAGGAGCTGCCTGTGGTCTCTCTGAAACTCAGCCTCCCTTGGTCCCCTGCTTACAAGGCCAGCAGGTGATCTGGCCTGGCCCTTTCCTGCCCCCACCTGCTGCCCTGCTCATCTCTGTCCATCTTCATCTGCTTGGGGACACCCATGCCAGCTCTCAGAATATCTTCTCAGAAACAGAGCTGGCCCTCCAGGGTGGGGGCTCCTTTCCCCCCCTCTCCACTGTCTTGATGCCCCCTACATCATTCTTGTCTGAATGCCTTCCCCTCCCAGCAGGCTGGGGACCTCCCGAGGCCAGGGGCCAGGCAGAGCGAGCCACACTATACAGAACTCATTGTTTAGGCCCTGGCTTCAAACTCCGGTGGGCCTGCCTCCAAAGAGGGTGTGTGGTGGCATCCTGACAAGTTACTTGCCTCTCTGAGCCTCATTTTCCCCTCTTCTGTAAAGTCATGAGGTTGCTGTGGATTCGAATTAAATAAATAGACCAGGCATGATACCTGACACTTCCAATACAATTCACATCACCCACAAATAACCAGTGTTGTTAGAGTCCCAGGCAGTTCCTCTGAACTTATTCATTCAGCTCTCAGATGTTTATTAAGCACTGCCTCTGGCCAGGCCATGAGCTAGGTGCTGGGCAGGCACCATGACCAAGACAGAGGTGTCTCTGCCCTCAGAAAGCTGACATTTCAGTGACAGTGTCAGTGCTGAAGGCACTGTCACACACTTGTTTAGTTATAACTGGGAGCAGAGAGGGCTGGGAGCCATAATTGATGGACAGAGGACCTGGCTTTCTCTAAAAAGTCAAGGAGGACTTCCTGGAGGAGGAGAAGGATGGACCCTAAAGGAAAAGTAAGAGTCAGCTAGAGGAAGAGCCCAGAGCGGCTCATGGGGCTGGGCTGGGAGAAGGGTAGGAGTAGAGAAATGAGCCTGGGTGGTGGGGAAAGGTCAGGGCACATTAAGGATTTGACCCTTATTTCCAGGGAAGAGACCTGTTCAGCAAGAGCACTCACTGCTGTGAGGGGTGAGGGCAGAGAGGGCTGCTGATGCTGTTACAGCGTGCGAGGACAAGGAGATGCTGCACTGGGCCAGGGTGGTACCAGGGAGATGGAGAGAGGGAGCCAGATTGAGCAGAATGGAGGGGCTTGGATGGGCCTCACTGGCTGGAGAAGGCACAGGAGGAGGCCAGCATGGCCCAGCGTCGAGCTCGGGATGCACTGCGGGATGGTGGCACCATTCTCCCGGTGGGAACTGGGATGGACGTGGTGTGTTGCTGAGGACCAGAGTGAGTGCACAGAACCTTACCACCACGGGGCTGGGAAGAGTCTAAGGGAGCCGCAGCCACCGCAGAGGGGGAAACTGAGGTCCAGACATGAGAAAAATGGGCCCAAATTGCATGCTGACTTATGTCTGAGACAGAGGTTGAACCCAGTGTGCCTTTCCATTTTGGTGCCCTGGGGGCATGTGCCCCCAATTGCTCATGACCCTCCTTGCATTCCCGTCTTCTCCTCCCTCCCCATCCAGGTCATCCCAGACTGGAAGGAGCAGGAGTGGGATCCCGAGAAGCCCGAAGCCTATGCGGGCATCTTCCACTTCCACTTCTGGCGCTTTGGGGAGTGGGTGGACGTGGTCATCGATGACCGGCTGCCCACAGTCAACAACCAGCTCATCTACTGCCACTCCAACTCCCGCAATGAGTTCTGGTGTGCTCTGGTGGAGAAGGCCTATGCCAAGTAGGTGCTGGCAGAGGGCAGCTGGGTGGGTGCCGGGCCGGCGCAGCACCACTGATGGGCTCCATATGGGTGTCCCCCTGGCTAGGGGTCCAGGCAGAGAGGTGAGGGGCCGGCGCAGAGTCACACAGAGTGCCTAGAGCCTGAGCCACAGTGCACAGCTGAATATATACCGCATGGGGTGGAAACCTGGGTAGCTAGTGGCAAGGCCTCACAGTCACCCACATAGAGAGGTGCCGGGTGTATAAATAACAACCACTTCTCTGTGCCCAGCACCCACTTCTGTCTATAAAGACTTAGGCCCAGGCAGGTGTCCTGCAGGTGGCCTGGGCCAGTGCAGATTGGTGTGGCTTCCCAGAGATTCAAACTTTGAGCCCTCCCTGGAGCCTTGGGTGTGACCTCTGCTCTTGGGCAATTTGAAGAGGGCGGGCAAGTAACCGTGTTTCTTGGCACCAGGCCTCCCTTATCCATCTGTCTAACATCTGTCTACCCGACTGTCTGTCCTTCCATTCTGTTGGGTGAATGTGTCTTCCCGCCCTTTGCCAGGCTCTGGGTCCCCAGCACCAGCACAAAGCGTTGCTGAGCTGTGGAGAGATAGGAAGAAGAGTGATCTGCCCAGGGGCCTGCAAGACAGGGCCAGGCCTGGGGCAGGGGGTCAGTGGGTGGAGTCCAGCCCCGCCAGTCTGTGGAGCAGCACCCTGGTTCCTCTTCCAGGCCTGAGTCATCGTCCTCTGTGTGTGTGTGTGTGTGTGTGTGTGTGTGTGTGTGAGAGAGAGAGAGAGAGAGAGAGAGAGAGAGAGGAGCAGACAGACAGAGACAAAGATAGAGAGAAAGGTGGGAGGGGAAAAAATAGCTCCTAACAAACTCAAGAAAACATACCAACAGGTTAGAATCCAGAAAGCAAAATGCACCCCCTGGTGGCCACTGAGCTCATGGCCCTAGGCACAGGGCCTCTTCTCCAACTCCAGAACTAAAGACTCGAGGGGGTTGTGTGTGTGTGTGTGTGTGTGTTTTAGATTTATTATTTATTTATGCATACAGAACTGAGGTATAAGCCAGAGGTGCAGGGGCAGTGAGAGATTTCACCAGAGACAGAGTGGGGAGCAGAACAGGCAGATCAACAAAGCACACTGCTGAGGGGAGCAGCGCCAGTCAGGAGAGGTCAGGAGAGGTCTGCTGCACCATATGGGTCACCTCTGGGGGGGGTGCTGAACTCATGCTGAAGTGGCTTTAGCTTCTTAGTGCTGTGCTTTAACCTGCTGCGCCACCAGGGAGAGCCTACCTTGTCTAAGTCTTTTACACACAGGTGCATAGAGAGGCCATGACACACAGGTGCAGGGGCTGCAGGTGGAAGAGAGGCCACACACCTCCTTTCTACTTTGTGTCTCTATGAACTTGCCGCTTCCCAGGTAACTCATAGAAGTGAAACCATACAATGTTACCCGTCTGTGTCTGCCTTATTTCAATTCATATAATGTCTCCAGAGTCCATCTGTGTCGTAGCCTCTATCAACATTTTACTCTTTATGCACTTATGTAGCCACATCTCATGATATCCATTTCCAACATACAGAAATCACGCTGTGTTGTATATCCCAGCCTGCCCCACCCAGGCTTGTATGCAGCACTGGGCCTGTAAAACCTCAGGCCTTTTTCTACACATTTGAATGAGGAGCTGCAACTGTCTCTACAGCACCTGGCATATTGCACACCGTAGAAGCTTAACATTCCTTCAGTGAATGATTGCACCTTGTAGACGCAAGTGTCCAGTGCAACAAGCCAGCACTGGCATCTCCTTAGTCATGGGCGTTCGGTGCAGGGTTCGGCGGCTGCCTGGTGTGCCAGACAAGAGATCCAGCTCTGCTCTCACCTGGCATTGTAGTTGCTCCTTGTTCTAAGCAGTGCTGCTCACCCAGAATTGATGTGTCAAAAGACAAATGAACGCTAATTGCTTCTGACAAGAATTGCTCCATTTCTGGGCAGCTAATTTTTGAAGATGAGGTGCTAAGGCGAGGGGAAATTTGAGTGTGAAATGATGTGGCTCAGTGGGACAAACATTGTCTCGGGAGCTGGAGACTGGGGTCTAGTGTTGGCTCTGCTGTGGCTGTGCAGTTTGCTTCACCTCTCTGAGTCTCAAAACGTGTCCCCCGTAAGGGGAAGGGCTGTGACCATCAGGGAGCATGAGCTGGGAATTGTTTCCATGTTGCTCCCCAGGCTGGCGGGTTGCTATCAGGCCCTGGATGGAGGCAACACAGCAGATGCACTGGTGGACTTCACAGGCGGCGTTTCTGAGCCCATCGACCTGACTGAGGGCGACTTCGCCAATGACGAGGCCAAGAGGAGCCAGCTCTTTGAGCGAGTGTTAAAGGTGCACAGCCGGGGAGGCCTCATCAGTGCCTCCATCAAGGTGAGGGCATCAGTGGGGCTTTTCCCCGCTGGTCAGCCCCGGTCGGGGTGGCAGGTAGGATGGTCATGCCAGCGGGAGCCCCTGCCCAGGTTAGCTCATTGAATCCAGACCCTCAGTTGCATGGTAGGCGAGAGGAAGTTGAAAGGTACAGCCAGCCCTCTCCCCAGTGCTGGGGAACACAAGCCACACCTCCCCTCCCCCAACCCCTTACACTGTGAAGTGCCTACACTGTTCAGGCAGCACCCCCCTTTACTGGTGTGGTGTTTGTCTGAGCGTCTGAGGGCCCCTCAACCAAAGGTTGTGGTATTGCAGGCTGAGGGGCAACCAGAATTGGGGGGCAGCCCCCATGGGGTGCCAGTGCAGGACTGGGTGCCTAGGGGCACCCTCCTGGTTCAGGAGGGGAATCTGGGGCTCAGAGACCACCTCAGTGGCATGTTAATAGACTGGCTCTCTGGAAAATAAAAAACCCTGATTTGTAGCATTTGCTGGTTCCTGTGGTATAAATACTCCTACCATGGTTGACTTCAAGCCACCAACGCTTTAACAGCTAGCTTGCAAAATCCCTGAACATTTAACAGTCACCAAGCTGGTGCTGGTCAATCCCAGGACAGCCCTGGGCTGACCCTCTGTAGGCTCCTTCTTCACCCCACACTGCTGCCTAGGCCTTCTGAAGGACTGAACACTGAGCGCAGGTCCTCACTGCTCAGAACACTGCCTGCTGTTCCCTTCCTGTCCTGTAGGTGGCGCGTGACACTGTCTAACCACCTCCCCTTGGCTCATCAACCGTGCCCTCCCCTCCTAGGCAGTGACAGCGGCCGACATGGAGGCCCGCCTGGCGTGTGGTCTGGTGAAGGGCCATGCGTATGCCATCACGGACGTGCGCAAGGTGCGCCTGGGCCACGGCCTCTTGGCCTTCTTCAAGTCCGAGAAGCTGGACATGATCCGTCTGCGCAATCCCTGGGGCGAGCGGGAGTGGACCGGGCCCTGGAGCGACACGTGAGGCTCCTGGGGAGGGTAACAGGCGCGGGCAGGTGGGCCCAGGTTAGAGGGCTTGGGCACAGACCTGGGGGGGCTTCCTGGAGGAGGTGGCACTGGGCTGGCCTTTGGTGGGTTTGGGAGGGAGAATTAGGATACCTAGTTTGGAGTTGGGGGAGGAGGGGTGAATAAGATGGGGTAAAGGCTTGGCCATGGGGATGTGCTAACTCCTGTAGGGGACACAGTGACCCCTCTGGGGAGTAAGTGGGGAGCACAGTAGGCTTGAGAATGGGGGGAACTGCTCTGTGCTTGTTGCTTGGCCCAGATGAGCAGAGCCCAGACCTCCTGCAGTGAGGATCTCTGCAGCTTTGTTCCAGAGTGGGCAGGCAGGGCCCCAACCATACCCTCACATGGAGGCCTGGGCTGAGCTGTCCCTCGCATCCCCTCACCCCTGCCTTGTGGTCCTGGAGGGGCCCCTCATCTCATACTCCTCTCTCCCCTCCCCTGCGCTCACACCCAGTTCTGAGGAGTGGCAGAAAGTGAGCAAGAGTGAGCGAGAGAAGATGGGGGTGACCGTGCAGGATGATGGCGAGTTCTGGTGAGTGTGTTCTCGGCACTGGTGGGCATCCAGGCTGAGGGGCAGCTTCCCGAGTGTGGGAGGCGGGGCCAGGGCTGCAGCAGACGTCCCACCATCAGCTTCCGCTGTCTGTCCACAATCACAGTTTCTCTGAGCCTCAGTCTCCGCCTCTGCAGAATGAGCTGAGCAGTGGTGGTCCCTTTCATTGTACTTTCATCCCCACCTGAGGGGAGCCTGGGCTGCTCTGGCATCAGCAAGTCGAGCATGATGCTGGCAGGTGGGGGATGCTGGCAGCCTGGCCGCGCAGAGCATGGGGCAGAGGAGAGGCCTCCAGGAGGGATCCCCCACCTCCATTGAGGCTGGGGTGATGAGGCGCCCTTGCTGGACAAGGAGAAGGACCCCGCCCAGAGGCAAAAGCACGTGGGTTTGGGAAGAGTGAGGTCAGGGAGGTAGAGCCGCTGAAGGACACATGGGTGTGCAGGGGGCTGGAAGACAGTAGCAGCCTCCCTTAAAGAGCCCAGTGACCATTCCTGCACCCACCCAGCCTGCATTTAGTCCCAGATGAGAGTTAGAGTTGTTCTTCAGCAAGGCACCAATTCAGAGTACTCAGCACTTCCTGGAGGGGTACTGGGCCCAGTGTCTGGTGGGTGCCATGAGGCCCCAGGCTGACCCAGAGGCAGGTGGCAGTGATGGTGATACCCTGCGGAGGCTCCCTCCTGCAGATATCAGGGTGCTGCAGCAGGAGGCGCCCAGGCCCTCTGGTCTGGGTACCCATGGGCGAGATGCTTTTGCCCAATCTGACTCGGCCAATGAAGGAAATAGAAAACCCTCATCGGTAGGAAGGGCCTCACATGTGCACACTCACACATGCGTGTGCCCGCTCTCATACATGTACACACTTGTCCCCCTTGATGTGTCAGCATCACTTCTCTGAGTCTGTCTGGGCCCCCACGGCATCCCCGTGGGGGGGCCCAGTACCCCTCCAGGAAGTGGTGTGTGTCCCGGCCACTGCAGGAAGACCCCAGAGGGAAACCACTTTATGTAGACCTGAGTTATGTACTCTGTTCATGTACCAGCCGGCCTGTGCCAGCTGCCCTGTCTGCCGGGAGTGGTAGGCGTGCTCCCCTTGCGATACTCAGTCCCTGCCCTCGTTCTGAGAGATACTGCTGTGAGATTTATTCCCATCTTACAAGTCAGGAAGCTGAGGCTAAGGGGGCCTGGGGAAGCATCCACATGGCCTCATGTCCACCCTCAGAGCACTCAGGGCGGGCGGGTGGGCGGGCTGCTGGGACCCTCCCAGCTCAGCCCCTCGCCATGCCCAGGATGACCTTCGAGGACATGTGCCAATACTTCACCGACATCATCAAGTGCCGCCTGATGAACACGTCTTACCTGAGCATCCACAAGACGTGGGAGGAGGCCCGGCTGCACGGCGCCTGGACGCAGAATGAAGACCCGCGGCAGAACCGCAGCGGGGGCTGCATCAACCACAAGGACACCTTCTTCCAGAACCCGCAGGTGGGCTTCCCGGCCTTCTGTCCCGCTGTGGTTGCCTGCGTGACTGGGCGTGCGTCCCTGTCCCCTCAGCACAGCCCTCAACATAGTGGGGCTTGGTGGCCACGTCAGCTCGTCTGTGTGGTCACCGGGCCCCAGCCTCAGAGTCTGGCCTGGCTGGCAAAAATGGAGCTGAGACTCTGGGAGCTACTGAGTGTCTTATCTAGAGTTAACATTTGAAAGCTGAGCAGAGGGTTCAATCCCCTTGTTTCCACACCACATAGAGCTGTTCCGTCCAGGGGGACTTGAACAGACTGGCGTCTCCACAAGGCCTCCTCCCTGGCAACTGCCTGGTAGCCACTCCATCCTCACACCTGGCACGCCATCACCGAGCAGTAGCTGTGCCAAGCTCAGAGCCGAGCAGCCCTCCCCACCCCGCCCCCAACCCCTCACACACTGTAGGCCTCTCTCACGGGGTGAGGGGTGAGGCTTAGGCAGGGATATGGCTTTGTCCCAGCTCACTCAGCTTGGAAGTGACTACAGGTCTGGCTCTGGACTGGCTCTGGCTTCCACGATCCAGTGAGTCCATCTTTTTTTTTTTTTTTTTTAAGATTTATTTATGCATATAGAACTGGGGTACAGGCCAGAGGTGCAGGGGCAGTGAGAAGATTCACCAGAGACAGAGCAGGGAGCATAACAGGCAGACTGAAGAAGTACACTGCTGAGGGGGGCAGCGGGCCGGTCAGGACAGGCCTGCTGTGTCATGTGGGTCACCTCCCCTGGCCAGGAATCGAACTCGTGCTGCAGTGGCTGCAGATAGCTTCATAGTGCTGCGCTTTAACCTGTTGCGCCACCAGGGAGGGCCCCCAGTGAGTCCACTTTGACTTGGCTTCATTGTTATCTGTCTCCCTCGGCCATGCCTGCAGTATGTCTTTGATGTCAAGAAGCCAGAAGATGAAGTGCTGATCTGTATCCAGCAGCGGCCAAAACAGTCTACCCGTCGGGGGGGCAAAGGTGAAAACCTGGCCATCGGCTTTGACATCTACAAGGTGAGGCCAGCTAGGGCCCTGCTCTGGGGACGGGCTCGGAGGCTGCCAGGGCCTGGCCACGTTGGCTGATGTCTCGGGGATGCTGTTTGGAATACCCAGAAGGCCTACCCTGCCCGGGGGCTGGAGCTGCACCCCACTTCTTCTTGTCCTGGGTTGTCTGGGGAGCAAGGAGGAGGAAGATAGCTGGTAATTGGGCTGGGCTCTGGGAGGCCCCCACTGCTCCGTCCCTCTGAGTCCCGGCCTCCCTGAGTTGGAGGCCTTGCTGGCCACCAGGAGAGCCAGCAGCCTCACCACTCACTGGCCGCTCCACCTTGTGCACATGCGACGCCCGGTGGGTGGTGCGCCTGCCCCGTGGACATGTGGCCCCTCAGACATTGAGAACTGGATAAAGTGACAGGCCCGTGGTGTGTGCTGGCCCCGGCCTCTGGCGAGCTCCTGGTACAGCAGTTTGCTCCTGTCACCGTGTAGCTGTTCTCACTGTGTTGACATGTTGTGACTGAAGTGTCATCACCTCCCCTGACGTGACTGCAGCCCAGCGTAGCGGGAGTCGTGGATTGTCCCGCATGCCTTGACAGCAGGGTCACTTAGGTCACTTAGGAACACATGCTGTGGCCTGGGCAGATGTGATATCACAGCAGTCCCCCACAGCTGCTGCTACCAGGGCAGTTCCAGTTGCACACACCCCCCAGCCTTAGCGACTTCACTGAGCTAGAATTCACATGCCACACCGTTCACCCACGTAAAGTAGTAGTGGCTTTTAATGTACTCGCAGAATACAATGCCGCCACCACCACAATCAATTTTAGGACATTTTCCATCACCCCAAAAAGAAATCTGACCCCTTTAGCCATCACCACCAAGTTCCATCCACCCGTTCCCCGCAGCCCTAAGCCAACACCCATCTGCTTCTGTCTCTGGATTTGCCTACTCTGGGCATTTCACGTCCCTTGGCGAGGGCGCTTGTGGGGGCCCCTGGGGAGCTCTGGTGGCCCAGCCCTCGTCTCCACAGGTGGAGGAGAACCGCCAGTACCGCATGCACAGCCTGCAGCACAGGGCCGCCAGCTCCATCTACATCAACTCCCGCAGCGTGTTCCTACGCACGGACCAGCCCGAGGGCCGCTATGTCATCATCCCCACCACCTTCGAGCCCGGCCACCCTGGCGAGTTCCTGCTCCGGGTCTTCACTGACGTGCCCTCCAACTGCCGGTGAGCGGGGCTGACGGGGCTCCGCAGCCCAGGCATGTCGCTGTGGTCCCCCCTTCTACGTCCCTGAACTGACCCAGCACCCACCGCCTCCCTGCTCTCCCAGCCCCCTGACCCCACCAGCCGCCGCCACGCTGAGCTGCGATGCACGCAGCACTTCTTCGCATTCACAAAGACGCTTTCACTCAGGCTTTTCCTGTACCCCTCAGCAGGAGGCTGACCCCCTGTTTAACTGATGAGAATTGGAGATGGAGGTTGGGTGTGGCCCAAGGTCATACAGCTGGTGGCAGAGTTGGCCTTGGCCACTCAGCCTGCCTGCTTCTAGGCTGGGAGTCTCGTCCTGCTGAACCCCCTTTCGGAAGGGGCTGGCCTGCCGAGGGGGCAGGTGGCCTGCTGAGGGGGCAGGTGGCTCAGAGTCCATGCTCCCTGTCCCCCATCCCGACCACAGAGGCGTCTGTGTGTGGGCTTCGCCCGGCCAGTCTGGACCCCGCTGCTCTCCAGCCCTGGGCAAATCCCTTCCCCTGTGAGCCTGGCACTTCCGAACTTGTAAACCATGGGCATGATAGTCACGTATTGTTCGGGGCTTTATGAGGCTGCGAAGCCATGCCTGTAACATCCCAGCAGAAGGCTTGCCACACAGCAGGTGCTCAGCAGAGTCAATTCCTCGGGGACAGCCTCTGGTACGGAAGGAGCAGCGGGAGCCTGGGGGTGGAAGCAGGTGCGGTCATGCGGCTTCCCAGGACAAGCACCCCTGGAACGAAATGCTGCTCCTCTCCCTCTCCCTAGTTCTTGCACCCCCTCACCTTCCCTCTTCCTGGTCCCCCTCCATCACTTCTCCCCTTTACCAGGGAGCTGCGCTTGGACGAACCCCCCCGAACCTGCTGGAGTTCTCTATGTGGCTACCCCCAGCTGGTCACCCAGGTCCATGTCCTGGGGGCTGCTGGTCTCAAGGACTCCCCAACTGGTGAGACTCTTGCCTTTACCCCCTACCAGCTGCAGATACCCAGCTTCCAGGGCGCTCCTGCGCTCACTCATTGAATGGGCGCTCGTTCCCTGAGGTCCACACAGCCTAGTCCAGGAGGAAGTTAGAGCATAGGGAGGGACGGCCGTGGCCCTGCGCTTGGCAGCCCGCATGGGGCGGAGTGGGGGCAGTCAGACATAGGAGCAGGTGGCTGGGAAGGCGGGCCCAGGGAAGGCTTCCTGGAAGAGGTGGCCTTTCTCCAGACCGAGGAGGTGTTAGCATAAAGCCTGGAGAAGAGGAGAACACAAGGGTGCTCTGGACAGGGGCAACAACATGGGGAAAGGCCTGGGGGATCGCCAGAGTGTACCCCCTGCCTCTGGAAGTTAGCCAGTGCCTCAGGCTCCAGTTTCCCTCTCCCTGATGGTGTGAGCAAAGGTGTCTGCTCTAGAGGGGATTCCCACCTTCCAGAATCTGTCCCCTCTGGCTCTACCCCAGCCCCCACCCTCACCCTACCGCCCACTCCCTTTCTCTAGGGGCTAACTCTTATGTGATCATCAAGTGCGAGGGAGACAAAGTCCGCTCGGCTGTGCAGAAAGGCATCGCCACACCAGAGTACAACGTGAAGGGCATCTTCTACCGCAAGAAGCCAGGCCAGCCCATCACTGTGCAGGTGAGCCCACCTGTCCCCAAGGACACTCACGGGCCCCCGCTCACAAAAGCAGGACAGGATAGCAGAGCTTTGACAGGAACACCAGGTTCTGATGCTCACTTTGACCCTGGAGGTGTGACCTTGGGGGTTCTCTTGCCTGCCTCTCCTGGGTGGGTAAGTGGGATTGACAGGAGTGTCTCGGACACACTGCAGGGCTGGCTCCTGGCCAGGGACAGTGGCCATCTCCCCCCACCTTGTCCTCCAGAGCTTCAGCACTTGTCCCTGAGGTCCCTGTAGGAGAGGCCACCTGGACAGGTTGCATGCCTGCATCGCTATTTCCCGAGAGCTGGGATCAGAAAGCCAGAGGCCTGGGCCCGGACTTCCTTCCCACTCAGGCCAAGGGCCGGTGATTGAAAATTCTGAGCTCATTAGCAGGAAGCTCTCTGTCCCCCAGGCCCAGGCCAGCATCTCTCTGGGTAAGAAACCATCTGTAAACAAACACACAAGTACCCCAGGGGAGCCACTGTGGGTTCTCCAAGTTTTCCTAACATTGGGTCCCACTGGATTGACCTGTAGATGTTGGGGCTAGAAGCAACCTAAGAGGCCATTAATCCAAACATCGTATTAAACACAGGGAAAACAGGGACTGGGGAGGCTGGTAACCACTTGTCCAAGGTCACCCAAGGTCAGTGCAAGGGCGGTTAATAGCGGATTTAACCTTACATGTGGAAGGGGGCTTGGGCAGGCGAGGGGAAGCTTACGGCCCGGAAGGCCATGTCTGAGGTCCACGGACAGGCAGCAGCTCCTCGGGGTTCCCTTCCTCTGCGAGCTCGTCCTGCAGGATGGCATTCACTGCCCTCAGCACCACCCGCTACACTGGACGCCTGGTCTCGTGTGTGCCCCTCCACCGACCTCTCTCCCCTGCAGATCTGGAACCATCGGGTCCTGAAGGACGAGTTTCTGGGCCAGGTGCACCTGAAAGCCGACCCGAATGACCTCCAGGCTCTCCACACCCTCCACCTCCAAGACCGCAGACGGCAGCCCAGCGACCTGCCGGGCACTGTGGGTGTGCATGTGGTCAGCAGCGCCTCCCTCACAGCTGTGTGACGCCTGCCTGCCGCCGCCGGGGCCCCCCAGTGCTCACCACCATCATATGTCCCCACCCGGGCCGGCAGACGCGCCTGGAAGCGGGACACCAGGGTCCGGCTCCCAGCTCCTCCACTGACTTGCTGTGTGACCTTGGGAGGTCGCTACCCCTCTCTGGGCTCAGTGTCCGAAGGACTCCAGAGCATTCCCTTGCATGGAGATTTAAAATAGCCCGCCCTGCCCCAGCTGTCTCCACTGCATAGGGACTCTATCCCTCAAACATTTCCCCAAGGCCCTGCTGTCTGCTGGCCGTGTGCCAAGGAGATGTCACTTGTTTACATACAAACTGCCACACTCCCAAGCCACTTTCCCCCTCAGACCTTGGGCTGCCTCGGGTCACAGACCTTGCTTTTTGTCAGGTGCAGACTTGGTTTCCTAACCACCCTGATGGGATCCCCTTGCTCTTCCCAGGCTCCTACTCAGCCAGGAACTTGTCTGAACATTCTCTAACCCCATCCTTTTATTTATCCAACAGAGATTTGCCAAATAAATTAACGATGCCCGCAACCCCAGGTAGAGTTGACCCTCCCCGTCCCAGGCCTAACCTCTGCGCCTGGGTCTCCTCAGAGGCCGACGCCTGGAGGGTGCAGCTGCTTTCTCCCAGCCTCTGATGGCATTCTCAGCCCCTGGCTCAATCCCTGCAGAGGTGGGGGCAGTGGCAGTGAGGAAGGACACCTTCTGCCCTGACCTTCCAGAAGCTACGAAGCGTCCAGTTTAGTGGACCAAGGGCCAGGTGCGTAGGGGGCATGCCCCAGGCCCCCCTCTGTTGCGAGGCCTGGGCTTTTCCTGGGACAATGGACTCTGGGGTGCTGGTCTCAGGCCTGCCAGTGTCAGGTGACTCATTGGGCTAGGCGAAGGTAGGCAAATCCATCACTTGACCAGAGGTTCCTTTACCAACACCCCCCAGATACAGCCAAGGAGGCTCCTCTGCTCTCAGTGTTTTATAGTCTCTTTTGAAACTGAATTTTAACCAGTGGTTTTTAAGCCAAAACTGAAAGCCTGAACCCCCAGTTTTTGCTTCCTAAACTCCAGTCCTGTGGTTCTTTGGTTTTATTTGGATTCTGCTTGAGGTGGGAAAAGTCTTACTTCTCAGAGAAGTGAAGAAGAGGGTGCTTTGCAGGCTGGCTCGGACTCTGTTCTTGGTGTGTGGGTGCCTCACCCACTGGGGGGCCTTCTGTGTCCATGTCAGCTCCAGGCCAGGTGACATCAATGAAAAAAAAAAAACCACTTGGTTCCTTTTGGGGACCTGAATTTTCAACTTCAAATCTGACTCCTGGGTGGAGATTCTGGATTCTTGACTTTGCGTCTTCACTCCAGGGCTAGCTAGCTCTGTTCCTGTGTGGCCCTGGAACACCTGGAGGCCCAGGAGCTGAGAGACAGGAGGACAAGAGGACTCTTAACTGGAAAACCGAACCTTCCCCTTGAGAATCTGGGCCTGGGGCCGGGACCAGGAGCATGACCTAAACCAGGAGCAAGTCACTTAAACCTCCTGTGCCTCAATTTCCCCCTCTTACAAAGTGGGGCTAGTGTTTCTCATGTGTCGGCACTCTTATTAGCAAGTGCTGGATAAGGGCAAAATCATACCCTTTCTCTGTATCTCTGTGTTTGCGCTATATACATTTATGTAATCACCACTTCGCAACGTCGATTTCTATGAAGACTCTTGAGACGGGACAGTGAGTGGGGGGGCAAGATAAGCTGGTTTGGGCCATCATGTGAGTTTTTATTCAGCCGTGTCCATCAGGGCTATGAAGCAAATTTGGACAGACTGGCCAACAGAACTGTGTGGACTTCAGCCTGGAAGCTGGAGCTACCCCACCCCAAACAGACCTGGCCTGCAGTCTTGGCGTATGAGCTGTGGGTGGGCCAGGCTGGCTCCTGGCTGTGCGGAGATCCCGGGTCCTCAGAAGGCCCTGGACTGGGCAGGTGAAAATGGAGTTTTTTCAAGCTCTGCCTGGAGGGTGGGAGGGAGAGAACATTTGCTCTGGTAGCTTGATGCACCCTTCAGCCCACAGGGGTGCCCAGGTCTCCACTGGCAGAGGGCAGGGCCTTTGGTCTGCTGTCCTGACCTGGGCTTCACTCTATTTGGGGTTTGCCACAGCACTGGTGCCAGGGAGTAGAAACTTACTCCCCTTTCAAAATAAACACTACCATAATCCCAGAAAGACCTTCCTGTGTCTGTCTGCCCCTCTGGGGGTAAGGGAAATGAAGGGGATGCTTCCCAGACCTGGTGACTGCCCAGGGATCAGAGATGAGTGAGGGGGGAATTGGCCTGTCTGTGTGAGCTGAGATCACTGGACCTGTCAGTCTGTCATCTGGCCCTGTGCTGGGCCCTGGGGTGGGGGATCAGAGGGAAGCAGGTGTGGAGCCCTGGGTTGGGGGTTCAGAGGGAAGCAGGTGCGGGGCCCTGGGGTGGAGGTTTGGAGGGAAGCAGCCACAGCTTTGCTCTGGGTTAGGGGGTCAGGGGGAAGAAGCCACAGCTTTGCTCTGGGTTGGGGGGTCAGGGGGAAGCAGCCACAGCTTTGCTCTGGGGCATCTCCAGGCTAGTGGGGGAAGACAAATTGAAATACTTGGATCCTGAAAAATGCCACCTAGAGAGGCATTGGTAGGCAATGAGGAGTCGGGGCCTCTTGAACCTGCCGGGGTGAGGAAGCCTTGACTGTAACCCTCCTGTGACATGGAGGAAGCTGCCTCCTCCACGGAGGGCTGTGGAGAGAGGAGACGGGCTGGTGGGGGTGCAGGCGGGCATGGGAATACTAGGACAGAGGCTGGTGAAGAGAGGTGCTGGCAGCTTGAGCCAGGGAGCCTGGGGTGGCAATGGGAGAGATGGCTGGGGTAGATTTTGGGGGTAGAGTAAACAGAACTCCACCGTGACTGTGTGAATGGGGACTGAGGGAGAATAATTGAATTAAGGTCAGTTCCTAGATTTCCCCAAAGGACAATGGATCTGCATGTATGTTACTGTAGCACGTGCTCCCTCCTGGTGCTGAGTAAATTAAAGCTGTTCTGACATCTGTAGGTGTCTGCTCAGCCCTGCCACTCCCCCAGCACTCCATGCCCGTCCTTGGCACCACGTTCCTCTCCAGGTCTCAGTCTGCCCATCCGTGTAGGGCCAACACATGGGCCCGCCCAGCTAGGGAGCCTCGGGAAGAGATGATTGCAGGAGCGGTGTGTTCTAGTGCAGTGACTCCCTCCGAGCCGCCAGGCCAGGCTTGCTCCAGCAGCCAGAGCTTTCAGGGGTCAGGGTGGTGGGATCAGCGGGGCCCTGGCCCAGCTGAGGCTGAGCTCTGAGCTCTGGCACTGAGCTCTGCAAGGCTGCAGGCTCAGCTCTGCACCGAGGTCCCTTGACCAGCAGGTGGCGAACTTGGGCCCTTGGGCTCCGTGAGCCCCTCTTGTCTGGGTGGCAGCCCCAGGTCACAGGGGGTGAGGAGCCACCAGACTGCCTCCCACGGCCCACAGTTCTCTGGAGAGGTCTGTGCCAGTGGGGCTGCTGCCGGGCAGCTGCGGGCAAAGCGCGGTGGCGAGGAAGCGCTGGGTCTCAGGAGCCCAAAGTGGGTTTGTCTTCTCCAGGGCTAACTGCACACGACTCATTTATTCTTCAGCTGTCCCCCAATACTGCATTTCAAAACTACCTATTTCACTTCCGTTTGTACGTTTCCCGGGTACACGCAGGTTACTTCCAATTGGCTGGTTTGAGAGTTTCCTGGATGATTCTAGAACAACATGCACTTCTCCCGCTTAACCCCCAGAACAGCTTGTGGGGGCAGCATTGAAGTGACGAGTTTCAGGGGACACATCTGAGGGGCCCCCCCGGAAGTGCTCTGGAGCACGGCAGGCCCATGTACAGGGACCGGGAGGGTCAGACACTGGGTGGCCATGTCCTACTCCAGCCGGTCATTGTTTCCAGAGTCTCAAAGGGCCATTTTATGGTGCAGAAGCCGGGCGAAGGGCAGGTAGGAGCTGAGACTCAGCAAATCAGTGACCAAGTGAGCCTGGGCTCGAGGCTTCCTGCCTGGAGGCTGGGAAAGCAGGTCATCTTACTGTACTGGCCGTGGGCAGCTGAGCCCGGGATGAGTGGGCTGGGCCCTTGCTGGTCAGTTGTACAGCAGAGAGCCCCCGCCTCCTGGCCACAGGGCGGCCAGCACTCACACTGAGGCCGCACAGCCCGCCCCCCCAACGCTGATGTCATGACACCCAGACCTTGGAGGGCCCCGGGCTCTGGCTCTGGCTCTGGCTCCGCCTCGGGGGAGGCTCTGGAGTGGGGAGGAGAGTGCTCCGGACAGGACTGAAAGAAAAGCAGACACTGAGAGGGAGCCAGTCAGCCGGAGACCCCCATACTCAGAAGACAGAGAAGGGGCACCGTGCACCTGCAGCTTGTCCTGGACCCCAGGCCCTAGCTTGCCAAGCCCTCCCAGGCTGGGGGGCAACCTGTGTGCAACCGGGACCCAGGTAAGGCGGGCTGTCTGCAGTCTGAGCACCGGGGAGTGGTTTGCTAGACTTCAGTGGAGTTGGGGGCTTGGGTTACTGGGGAGCCCCGCAGTCTGGGGCTCCTGCTCCTTTGGGGGCTCAGTCACAGCAGCCATCAGCTGAAACTATACCAGGCCTGGCGAGATGGAGGTTTGTACCTTGGAGAAGGAAGAGCCGGGGGCATATTGTCCACGGAATTGTTTCTGACCAGGGCTGGGCTGGGCTAGCTGGAGGTGGCAAAGTCCTCTGTCCCTGTTTTCTTTGGTCTCTCTCCCATGCTTTTTTTTTTTTTTTTAATAATATAATCGTTTGTCTTTACATCATTTTGTGCCTTTTTCTCAGTTGTAATACTTTCATTTTTTAAATTGCTGTTTTTTTTAATCGTATTCTTTATTCCTCTCTCAATAAGTCACCCCCTTCCTCTGTGTCTCAGTTTTCCCATCTTTGAAATGGGAAGATGAAGCTTCATGACGAGGTTGTGAGAATGGGTGCGTCAGGCATGGGCACAGAACTGTGGATGCCACTCTGTGTTCTCTGCTGCTCATTTGAAAAACAGCTGACTAGTATTGTCTTTAGGGGGAGTCTATCTGGTAGCTTTTCCGTATGAGTGACGCCTAAATTCTCCACCCTCCACACCCCCTGCACCAAATCCCCAAATCCATCATGACCACTTAGCTGTGCCCTCGTGGCTCTGCAGCAGGCTCGTCAGGACAGCCAGGCACCCTTTCAGACAGCCCCCAGGGCAGGTGCCTGTGGGTCCTTATTGAGTTCCCTCCCCTGGCACACATGCAGACTGCATGCCCGCTGTTTCCCAGAGCTCCAGGCCAGGGGTCAGGGCTCAGGTGTCATGGGCAGAAGATCAAATGCCCAGTGCCTCTGAATGGGCCTTGTAAAAAATTGATGCCCATCAGGAGGCAGGGAAAAGGCCTCATGCCAAGGTCTATGGGCTGGGGCCTCCCAGATCACCAGGCTCAGTCCTGTGAGTCCATCCTCAGCCATCTCTAGGCCCGGTCCTGTGCTGGATGAGGGGGTGGCTGAACCCCATGCCCTGCCCTGGATCAACTCCCTCACGCTGGGAGCGGCGGTGGGTCAGAGCCTGATCATGCAGCCTAACACAAAGGGGAGAGCCAGGTAGAGGGAAACTGCGCTCTGGCAACCTGGGCGTGGTCGTGGAAGGCTCCCTGGAGGTACCAACTGCCCTGAGCACGAAGTGTAGGTGGGGATTTATTGGTTAGAAATCCAGGCAGAAGGGCCCGGATCTATAAACGTTAGGAGGTCTGGATAGGACAGGCTCATTTCGGGAACGGTGAACACTGAGAGGGGGGTAAGGGGAGGCGTAGGGAAGGAAGGCCGCAGGGAGGCCTGGAGGTGGCCTCAGGTAGAGCGGAGGCCATCTTGACAGGCGTGAGGCAGGGCAGGCCACGGGCAGGTCATGCTTGGCCTGTGACCCCTCCCTGAAGGCCAGAGACAAAGTCCTAATCTTGAATTCACTCTGCCCTGCTATGTGACCTTGAGCAAGTCTTGGACGCCCTCTGGGTCCCTTTGTCAGTATGTCCAAGAGAGGGGGCTGGACTTGTTATTTCCTGGGAGCCCTCTGAGAGTCCCTGAGTGACAGTGACTGAGAGGTGGCTAAGAGTCAGGTCACATGGGCTGGGCTGCAGCCACTGGGAGAGAAGCCAGGGAGGAATCCCTGGAAGGAGGAGGGGCTGGGGCTTTGGGAGGGGCCCAGGGGACCCCAGCAAGT